CTGAATTTGCAGGGGTGCTGGCTGTTATTGGTTAGATTCCAGAAAGTGTCAAAATGTTAACATGTTGACACAAATTTTAGTTTTGTATTACCAAGCTTACATTTGTGCCTGCAGCTGAGAGCGAAAAGATGCTTGCTACAATTTTTGGGAAATATATAGCCCATTAAATTTAAGTAAGTTTCAAGACGCATTTTCTTCCATATAAATACTCAAAATTTCTTTTTATATAGAATAAAATGCCTAGCAGCGCCAGCAAAAAAAAGGATATTAAAAACGAACGCGATTTTCTGGCGTCTTGAAACTTACACTGTATGTTTAAAACCGATTAGAAAATTACCACTATACGTAAGTGGCAAATAAAATAAAAGCTTGTAAAAATACTTACATCTTCATCCGTAAAACGATCTCCCATGGTTGTTAAAAGCTCACGCAAACGATCTTCAGGCAATACTCCTGTATTCTCTTCATCAAAACAACCAAACGCATTTTTTATTACATCTTCTGGATCCGTTCCTTGTAGGCGTTCTCCAAACAAAGTCAGGAACATGGTGAAGTTTATAGGACCTGGTGCTTCGTTCATCATAGCTTCTAGATATTCATCTGTGGGATTTTTACCCAGGGATGCCAACATGTCATGTAGGTCTTCCTTTTCCACGAATCCATCTCTATTTTGATCAATCATATTAAATGCTTCTTTAAATTCGGCAATTTGCGCCTGATCGAACATAGCAAACACATTTGAAGTGGCTCGTTGTGCTCGCTTTTTTGTAGTGGCGCGGCGACCAGCAGTTTTACGAGAAGACATGGTCAAACTGTAAATAAAACAAAAAAATGTATTAGCAAAAGAACAATATTATACAAAAGGTAGATTGTTTTATTTACAAACAAGGAAGCGCATTCGTATTGTGACGTACCATGAATCAAAGATTAAAATGAGAGATTGTTTTAGAATTTGAAAAAAAATTGTTTTTTTTTCTAATGAGCAATCACCATGTGATTGGGCTTCAAAATGCTGCTTGCTGCGACGTCGACACATGTATACCATCGTATATACTTACAAGTATGGAATCCTATGCCCCTTTTTGTCTATTCTCTTTCTAACAGCGGACGTGCCTGCCAAACTGAAAAGCATGATGGCGGCAGTGTTTGACAGGCACCTTCGACGATGCGAACGGCAATGGAAGGTAAGAAATGGAAGATGGATGACATGACAATGAAAGAATTATGAAATAGCAGAATGTCGAACCAAAACGAATTTCAAAAATCTGACAATGCGAATGACGTCAAAATGAAAGAAATGCAAAATACCGAAATGTCGAAACAGAAGAAATAGATGACAGGGTTCAAGGGTTTCGTGCAACAAAAAGAGTTGTTGTGTTGCGCCATTCAATATTAAAAAAAAGTAATGTGGTTAAATACGCTTTTCTATTAAGTTGAAAAATTACATATTTCGATAGCCAAAAAGTGTATAAATAAATATATAGCATATTGCTATAAGATTTATTTATAAAAACGGTACATGCTTATGACCTTATTCATAAAAAAGAAAATAGATGTAAAGTAACATTAAAAAAATCGATTTGCTTACTTTTTAAGAATTTGGGAAAAACATTTAACTAAAGTTTTTGTGCAACCATCTCTTTTTCTGTTTATTATTTTCAAATTTTTCTTTTCCTTAATACTCATTGAGTTTTCATTTACACCCAGCAAAAATCAAAATATTTTATAAGAAATTTGTTGACCGTTTCTCGCACACTTCTCTCATGCTTTTTTATCGTAGTTATTATTCTGTTGACATCTAAATTGCCATAAATTTTATGTTGTTGCCAATACATTGTTTTCCGGCGTTTCCTCTGTGAACTTTTATAACTACATTCATAAAAATATATATAATTTTTTTCCATCTTGTTATTCCTACTTTAATGTTTATGAATAATTATTACAAATTAGCACAATCAAAACACGTTCCTTATCGAAAAATTTATTATTAAGAAAATTTGCTGTTCTCACATTTTCTTTCAACATCCAATTCGACTTTTATTACTTTTTGTACAGATATGTCATCGCCGCCAGGACGGCGCAATCTTGTATTCTATCTTTCTTGTCAAATATGCATTTAGATCTAACTGTCATACTACTATTAATGGTAACCATGAATATTCATTAAAATCGTTTCAATTCGGAATAAAAGTAATTTACATACTGCTAGTGTAAATATATTTTTTAATATGAACTACCTTTTTTAATTCTAAAATAAATCAACAATCTCAAGATTTATGAGAAAATTGTCTTCAAAAAATACGTCCCAAATCATCCCTGTTGATATCATAATTCAAATGCAAATTAGAATAGAAATTTTGATACAAAAGTTTTTCCGCGATATTCATCATACAAATTTATCATCTTACTTGTCCGTATGTCGCTCTGGAAAGAAATATATTTTAACTGATATGTTTTCTTGAAAATAAATGCAAATGTACCTATTTTTTCCACCGGCAGGCACGAATATGATATTCAAAACAGAAGCAATGACAACGAATTTTACACACATTGTTGTATTTTAGCGCAAAACTATAAGTTTCACAAATATTTTAAATTATTGCCTGGAACATACACATTTATCGTTATTATTGGAAATGCAAGACTTGGCTTGCATTTTTAATTTCTTTTTTATTGAATTCAAATGAATAAAAACACATTTTTCTAAAATATTTCTCAATTTACATTTTAAAGTTTTTTCTGAAACTTGAATGTAACTCTGTGCGGAGAATGAGAGAATTGAAAATCAGGTGATCTCAGCTGTTTTCAAATGTAAACAAACAAAATGGCGCTTTCCATACTTGTAAGCCTATATAATGATGTATACTAGCATCTTACGACAATTGATGATTGACTGATGCTTCGTTGGTGCCTCGGCAAAAAAAATCAAATCAGTTGCTGTTGACAGTGTTCGGACGTTAAAGTTTTTGAAGTGAAACTTCTTAATGGTGTTCGGAGATGTTTGCGTTAAATCAAGGCATATTAAACAGGTAAAGTATTAGAACAAAAACAACATTTAGGTGTATTTTGATGTTGCATCTGGTCTCTAAAGCGTCAAAAAGTTATACAGATTTTTTTAAGATCAAAGTGTGCCATGTGAAACACACACAAAATTTTAAATAATAAAACTTTCAGTAGTGCAATTGAGCTTTGTACGACGATTTGTTTAGTAGGAAAAATGCAAAAAACAACAAAGTTTAACGAATCAGCTGCACTTGATAGCAGTAGGTTGAATAAGGAAATGGATTAGCAACAAGAGTTTACGGGATGTGCATAGCTCAGTGGTTTGCGCTTTTGACTCTGCACATCGATGATGCGGGTTCGATCCCTGCAGAAGTCAAGAAAAAGGAAGTCAGATAAGGAGACGTGGTGATCTCCGAAACAGCAGCTATAACTTCTACCGCTTAAACTTTGGTGTTTTTTCCAATTTTCTTAATAAACAAATCGTGGTACAAAGCTCAATGACACTATTGAAATAAATATTAATACGCCACAATAAAACAAAAATTCAAATAAATCAAACTTCAAATTAAAATTGCTCCAACTTTCTTTCTTGGTAAATTTGTTTGCATCCAGAGCAGTGTTGCCAAGTTTTGAATTTGAAAAAGCACTAAAACCCAAGAATAATCGCTTTTTTTCTCGAAAAACCCACCAAACTTTTATTTTAGTATTTAATGGACTTTGTATGCATGAAAAATTTTGTTGTAGGGATGCCGATTCAAATTAATAAAAATCAATGTTTTTGCTCGACTGTCGAATTTATTCCGTTTTCTATAAATTCAAATATTTAATCTTGATCTTATTTTCTAATTTGCAGCTGTGTCCAGCTTTGCCGTTTGATAATAAATTTTTTCTGACTGTTTAAATGTTAAAATTTTCTTCGTTTTGCTTAATTTTTTCTACAATTCCTAGCAAACGAAGGCAAAAACCAGAAATTAAGTTTCATGAACTATGTGGTAGTTTAAATCTACACTGCAGTCTCTTATGATCTTGTGAACTAAAGTAACATAAGGAACTTTTCTTTGTGACCGCTTAACACCTGAAAACATAACAAAATTTGATTTTCCTTCGTAATGTGTCTTATTTGGGCAGCTTGGCTATCACTGCAGACAGGTAAACTCCTCCACCTATTTACCACCACGTAGTCCATCGCTTTGAGCATTGCAAATACCTCGGCCTGGAAGGCGGAAGCTTATCCACATTAACGTCGAAAAACACTCCAGCTCCTGACCCAGAGTTAGTTCTGGAGTCATCAGTGAAGATTCCAAAATGTGTGAGTACGGGCTCAGTACTGGAATGAAACCAGCATACAGCCTCAGGGATCTCAAATCTCTGTCGCCAGCCATTTTCGCCTCGCCTCACTCAGTGTTATACCAAAGTCCGTTTCTTTTTAGTCTGCAGGTGGAATTTAAGGCTTCCCCACGTATGAAAACACAAAGCGACGGTAAGTGTAGCAGTGCATCAATAGCTTTATAAAACACTAAAAAAAATTAAAGTTAAATAAAAGGCTATCAAGCTACCAATTTGGTTCTTTACTATCGAAACCAGATACATTTTCGTGGACCCCCACTTCCAACTCGTGGACCCCCATATTTCTTTCATGCCAACGTTGACCCCCGTCAAGTCTCCCGTGGACCCCTGGGGTCCACCTGGACCACTTTGGGAATTACTGAATTAGTTGGAGTATTAGAGAAGATATGGCGCTTCATTGTCCGAATACAGTGCTTTCAGCTTTTTAAACCCCATTTTTTTAATAAATAACTAAAATTTAACAACGTGACTATTTTTCGCAGGTACGTGAGCTCCTCTCCTTCAAAATGAGATATCATTCGTTAAATTTTAAAAATATTAAAGGAGATATCGTTGGGTAACAGAAAAATACCTTTTAGAAATAAGTATATAGGTTTTAGCCCCCACTGTTGAAGAAATTAAAAAAGATCCTAAAGGTATGCAACCATTTTACAATGCTTTAATCAACTTACAATGTTGTGTATCCAGACACCATTTATAGCAAAGGTATTATGGCAAAGCTTCTATACAACCTACTCTAGATATCAACTTCGTCTGTAGGTATCATATCAAAGACTCTAGAGGAAGATACCGCAAGTAGTTGTACCGGATCGGATGGCAACACTGTGCCATCTATGTATCAAACTGCAAGCACATTGTTTTAGTTAGCGTACGTCTGGCAACACTTTTATTTTGACATTCCTTTTGTAGCTATTCTGTTGAATATTATAAATCACTACTCTTGATATTCTCTTTTTGGATTGGCTGCATACTCAGCACATTTGTATTTGATTAAATATAGTTTTAATATTTAGTTTTATGAATAAATGCTTGTTAAGCATTAAACGTTACGGAGTTACTTTTATTGCGATATAAGGAAACAACCAAAGTGGTGACCAAGACGTGATCGGGAATTGTATCAATTTTCGCACAGCAGAAATGGAATTCGAAAAATCTGCCGTTTTCACCGAATCTCACAACGGACAGTTATTCCATAACGGTAGTTCTGTTTGATTCCAGGTTCCCGCTACAATTTGCGCTCCTTCACTGAAAAAGAAGATATAAAAATGTCCGAGACTGAAAAAGGAGCTCCCTGAAAAACTGCGCGCCCTGGAATTAGAATGTCAACGTCTTCAGAGTATGCACGAGCCACAGCCCAACATGCAAAGGGATTTGCAGCGGCCACACGGTAACTTAATCGTGCCAAAATTTAATAAGAGTAATCCGCACTTGTGGTTCGCTCAACTTGAGCGGACGGTTTGTA